TATAATTTAACTAAGATCTTATGATTTCCTATGGACACGATTCAAGGGGGGAGTCCTAGATAATAGTTTTGCAGTGGCAACAGCCTTTAAAATTCAAGTATAATAATTTACTGTTTCAGTTTTTCTCCTTTTTCGAAGTAGGTGTCCATTTAAACTAAAAAAAATTATTTCACTTATTGATTTTAGCATTTATATACAGTATCGGCTAATGAACACTTTCCAATACGCTTGGCTAGAATCGAGGAGAAAATTAAAGGGTTAGCATTAGTACGATCAGGAAACGAATAATATGAATGTTGCCTTGTGTGCTGTGTAATATGAACAGGCACACGGTGCGATGCATCCCCACGTAGCCGGCTGGCTACGTTCATAGTATTCTATTCTTTCTCCCACTAATGCTAACTCTTTGTAGTTTTTACTTGGACATTATCAAAATGTATTGTACAACATTCGATAGCTGTCACTGTATTATCACAAACATCTCTTAATAACTAACTGATTTCATTTAATAGTTTCTTTTTTTTTCAGTAAAATGGATATGGCTAGAGTTATCCTCGACTTTAAAATAAATTAAATAAGTTTTATAATTTTTCAAATAAAATACCTTATACAATTTTTTGTTTTTTTACCAGAGCCAATTTTTTTTTCAGATCTAACCTCTATAGGTAAAAAATAAGTGATTCAGGTAAAATTGAAAAGTATATTACATGTTCTTTTAAATGTGTTGTTAATTCAAATGCTGCTCTTATTGTAATAGTTAACAATAAAAGAATTAGTATTATTTTTAGCTATCAAAATAAAAATAGCGCCTGGATTTACAGCTCGTTTAATGGAACATTCAATATACTTCTCAATTATTGCCGAATGAATATATTTAAAAATTCCCACCATTCCGCTGCTGGAAATTTACGATTTTGGCGGTAAATTTAAATTTCGCCTTAAAATTATATTTGAATTTACCGCCATATCGAGTTAATTGAGCAGCCAGACACATACACATTTTAGCGCTGCAAACTTAGTGCCAACTCTTTAACAAGTGAGATGCACTACTACAGGGGATATATTGTGTACCTAACTTGCATTGCATCGTTTCTAGATGTTATTGGGCAGTTTTGTTCACTAAACTTAATTTTTCAATGCATAGATACATATAACTAACTACCTTTGATCTAATTAAACTCTTGGAAATTCTGTTAGAAAGGTATATAGAAGCGAAAGCAAATAAGCCTGCGCAGATTTAGTTACCAAATTATAATATAGAATTCTTATTTCCATACCTATTCAATTTATGAATTAATAGGTATTAGGTGCATAATTATTACTTAGATAGATAGGTATAGGTGCTCGCCTCGTTTAATTCGTGTTTCATGTTTTTGATAAATGTAAAAATAGCCTTATCAATTATTGTATTTATCAACATAATACCTCCCAAGTGACGCATAGTCGAGGGAACGTATCAGACTATTAAAACCTAGCCCGCTATCATGGGGCGACTACGTAGCCGCTACTAAAATGGGGAAAAATGTTTAGTCGCCAGGTAGTGTTTCAGGTAATCCCGGCCTCTATAGACGGGACTATGTTTAGTTATTATAAAGGATCGGGGTATCACTTTTTAATTAATTATACTTAGTATCTTTGATTTTTCTTTTATAATAATGGCGCAGTGATACATTATGTCAAAAATATGTGTACTTCAGGCGCGTGTTTAAAGTACCTCTTTAGTCCATTTTTCGAAACGCAATTTACCTTTTTGATATAAGTTGACACATTAAATGATAAAACTTCAACGCGCACTCAAAATAATTTTTTTTTGCAATTTTTTTAAAAAAAAATTAATTTAAAAAGGCACGAGTAAATTTTTTTTATTTTTATTTGGGAAATATTTAGAATACTTTTAAAATCATTTTTCGTAAAATTTTATAAGATAATAACATAACTATTATCTATTGTTTTCAGAAGTAACACAATCTCTTGGGGCTGAGGCTAAGACAAGCTAAGATACTTCTGGGTAAATATGACCAGAAAAGATCGGAATCTTGTATCTGCCTGAGCAAGAACAGGCTACGTATTGTAACAGATATCCTTACTGTGCAATGCCGACTCAAGAGACACCTTAGTAAACTGAGAGTAGTAGAAGATAGTGAATGCAGATTCTGTGAGAAGGAATACGAAACCTCTATTCAGATTCTGACATGTGTAGCACTTCAGAATCCAAGGGCTTCTAGGAGCATATCAAACAGAAGAAGGAGATTTACCTAACTTGGATCCACTCCAACTCCTACACTTTTTCGAGAAGATAGGATTAGAAGGGTCGTTATAGGCATTAAGACATTTCCTTGCTGCATTAGCGACAGAAGGGGACACAATAGATTTTTTAGGTCGCAGTGTATTAACACCACATTCCCAACATAACATTGTCTAATTTTAGCAACCACTAATAATGGCCGCTGATTTTAACAAAGGTACTAATTAGGCATTCCAACGGCCTATCAAACAATAGCTGCTATTGGGAAGAGCTCGTATATGTAAGGGGGTTGCGCCATAGCCTTCCATCTTGGAAATAATAGTCGCCAAGTCTGCCAAATTATGAAAAATGTATAAGCAACTTTTTTTTTAAATAATATTTTTGTTCTGTTCGACATAAAATACTTAAATTTCATCCACTATTCATAATTTTCCGTATTGTAGATAGACTACATCATATGTCACAACCCTTTAGACAAACCTTCTCACCAACAGTTCTTTTGTTTGGAATGCCTAATAAAGTTATGCCCTTCATCATAAAGTATAGGGTACTAATAATCTTTAGTTTCTGAAACTCTATTGTGGCCTTAAGTCAAAATAAGATAGTGAAGTAACAACAGGAAGTATTTCGCTACCCTCGTTACCACTAAAATGCCAAATGTTACTTTGGACATTTACAGTTCCAATAAATGGTATTGATGTTGTAACAGTTACTTTAAAAGAACCATATAAAGTAGCCCTACCCACTAAAGTAGCAATATTCGTACCACATTACCAGAAGGAACTAAGCCTTCATAGCAAAACTGAAACAATTTGGTACTATGTGTGTTACTTGGGTTATGGATGTTTTAAACAGTAAAAAAATAAATAGGTTTTCAATTTTTGTGATTCCAGCTATACCAACTGCCCTGCTAAGACAAGAGGATGTATTAACAAAAATTCCAATTTTGAGATTTTTACACATTTGGAAGGCTTACATTTTATTTTATTATGATATAAAGTTAGAAAGATCTATTTGTATCAGAAAACATTTCAAATTAAATATAAAGGTTAGTCAAAACTGCAAAACTTACTTTACGAAGTCTAAAAGGAAGTACTTATGTACACTTACTAAACATTTCTAATTTGTAGATATATGACCCCTGTTTAGGACTACCATCCTAAGGGATGGTAGTATACAACTATAGTTTTGATAACTTAAATCAACCATTTTAGGATAAAAAATTGAAGCACAAACTGATAACGGTTAATTGAAGGTGTTACCATATCCATACCAATTCCTTATATCCACTTAAAAGTAACTCATTAGATTTAATTAAGTCAGGTGATATTGACCACCATATGAACTCCTAAATAAAATATCTATGAAAAAAAAAAAAAAAAATTAAGTACCTAGGTAAAACCTTAAATCGCTAACATACTTATTAGATCCATACAGTTAGAAAATTCAAAATAATTTGTTTCCTAGAATCCTAGGTACTACATATATTTTTATTATACTTACTGTCTGTAAATATTAAATTTTTCTTACCCTTGAAGTAAAATGCAGTTTTCTTAATTATTTAATAACAAGTGATTGTAAGTTTGGTCATTGTCTAGTTTGATATCTTTTTGCTTATGAAAAAACTAAGCATATGACTTGTAGGTAAACAAAAATCTTAGTTCTAAATCTTATGCAAATTAATTTTTTTAAATAGAAATATTTCAGAAATTGTCTCAAATCAAAGCTCAGAAATGCTACTTTTAGGTCTTACACTGTTGCCAAGTCACACAAAAGTTTACTATTCAAAATTTTATATGTACCTAATATGTACTATAACTATTGATGTTGTTTTACCCACCAAGTGCCCCTATTTACTCACTTTCCCATAAAATTTATAGAAAAAAATGTCATATTTTTATTTAAAAAAATTATTTCTTTAATATTCATTTGCACAAGAAATGGAACTTGGATTTTTTTTGTTTACAATAGCAATACCTATTCTTAGTTTTTCCATAATTGAAAAGAGCTCAAACTAGACATTTACATCTTATTTTTTCTTATATAACATCTAAAAGTATTGATTCATATAAAACCAAAACAAGGGAAATAAAGTTACATATTTTACGTGATGCCCACATAATAATAATGATGAATATTTATAAATTAACCTAGACAATACACATTAGACATTAGAGGCATGTAATACATCACACAGCAGAACATTATTTTGCAAAAAATAGGTGATTTCTCATTCTCACTGTCTGTGAACTTCAAGTTCAAGGTTAATAAAATTAATGTATTTCTATTAATATGAGTCAGAATACTAACTAGTTCTTTAACCATACCATATAGGTGAAAAAGTGTATTGACCCAAAATAACTTTGAATATCTATTGGAAGAAGATAACACTTAATTGAAAAAAAACTGTGAATGTATTACCTATAATATCCTTAATAATAAACATTACAAAAATATAATGTGGGTTAATTAAATGTCAATAAATAGAATTCTCAATAAGTAGGTACTGACAAGGAAAATAATATAACAATATTATTAACATGTTGCACCCACTTACGAATTCTACGTTCACTATTTAGAAAAAACGTATCGAATATATACTTGAACATTTAACCGAACTTAAAATTTATCTAAATCCAACATAAACATAATAAATTATCATTTAAAGTAAACATCTAAAATTACTTCAAATTAAAAAAGTAAGTTAAAACACTTAAAATATTACGCTTCTTATTTTAAAAACTAGGACACTCACCTGATAAGAATAGTCCAAAAACCATTACTTAACAGTTTAAAACACTCAATCACGAAAAAAACTATTGTTTTTCTTCAATTTTCAACACAGATGCACCACAATCAGACTCCCGTAGCGACTGCCATTTTACGTTTATGACAACAAACTGTCTTTATAATGACATTTCAGCATTAACGGCTTCTGGTGGTGATAAACGGAAGAACATTCTTTAGCTGGTAGACCACCATCATTACTTTCAGTTGTATTGTTGGTGGTCTAGATAAATGTTGAATGTATTGTTAGTTGCCTACACTTAACAAACGAGGTAACAACTTTTCAAACAATTTGTAGGGGAGACCGGGACAGGTTGTAACAAAATTAATTTTGTTGCCCATCTCTCAGAAATTATGCATATATTTTGTCATGTCTTATGTGCATTTGAAAAATAACGTTATGCAAAAATGTATGCCATTAAAAAAATTCACACATTTTGCAACCCGCGCAAATATCCTAGGCGTATTGAAAATACCGGACACAACTCTCTTGACTTCTGATGTTTCCTACTAACGGGGATTTTTATATCAATAAAAGAAATAACCTGAAACAATATCACCGGAAGGAACATGCTCATCTATACAGATTGCAGACAAGCACTACTCACCCTGAACAGACCACGAATTTACTCAGGGTTAGTACTAAAATGTCACGAAGCTCTGGCCGAAGTATCCATAAACAATGTGGTCACCTTAAGATTGATCAAAGGTCACGCCACATTGAAAGGTAACCGTCTTGCTGATTCACTAGCCAAGAAAGCAGCCAACCATCTACTTTTTGGACCTGCTGGTCCTTCTATTAGCCTGACAAAATCGGTAGTAACAGACATAATTAAAGAACATTCCCTTGTGAAATTCAAGGAAAGATGCGATGAAACAAGAAACTGCAGAGTTGCCAGGGAGCTCTTAAGTTATTCCGACAACACTGCAGCAAACAAATACTTGACTATGACTAGACAGAATCTGCGCCTAGTCACAGACATTCTGACTGGTCATTGCCAAGTACGAAAGCATCTCCATATAATGGGGCTGTCAGAATCCGCACTTTACAGAGGGTGCGAACAAGAAGATGAGACCATCGAGCATATCCTTTACGACTGCTCGGCGCTCTCATTTATTAGAATATTTGTGTTCGGCGAGTATCGGCTAACACCGGCCGATATAAAAGAAGCGCCTCTTGGCGACGTAATCAATCTGTAGCTTATCTGTAGGCTGGCTCACGATCTAGGAGGTGCCTATCATCTCAGGAGGACGCACAATGGGCCTAATCCCAGATAGCACAAATACGTCTTATGGACGTTCTAAAAACGTCCTGCTTGGACATTCAGGACATCCTTAAAACGTCCATTTCACGGACGTGGACGTCTTATGGACGTCTTTGGAACGTCCATTGTTAATAATCAGGATGTCTTAAGAACGTCCATTTAAGGACATTCCATGGACATTTTCATAAGCTTGAATAGGGAATAATAGGATGCAAGGAAATTAGTGAAAATAATGAATAATTTCAAAAAAATTTATTTGGAAGCAAATAACCTATAAATAATAAAATTATTGAAACTTTTTCCTCAAATTCATTCCGTCTCTCCTCTTCTTTACGCTTTTCAACCATGCCTGGATTGACAGCAGGCCCAAGTGCCGTAGGGATAACCCACCCTCCACACGTTACAGATACAGATATACTCCTACTTTGAGTATTAGGTAAGTTTACTATTAATTTCACATATTTTGTCATTTTTACAAGTACCTAATATTAACAATGTGACTGTTCTGAGGGTCATAAAGTGTCGCAGGCGAATAATTTTTGGGATACTACTGTACGTTTTAGTTTTTCGTATCTGAAAGTCAAATATCTAAAAAGTATTTTGACTAGGCTTTCGCGAGCGTCCAGTTCCCCGAGTCCCGGAGCCCCCTCCTACCTCACCGTAAGTACACCACTGGCCAGTCACGGTAATATTTATAAAATACGTAGTGTTATTACCTTTCACATTTCTATTTCTTTTAGTGATTTTCAGGGGCGAAGCAGAAGTACCACTACTAATTGCTAATAATACTATTTTACGACAACGTTTGGCTTTTATTTTACGTTTTTTTGGTTCTTTTCTCATCTGAACTACTTGAGTTTAAGAAGCTTTTCATAATCTACTTGCGACTTCTATAAGCACGACAACGTTTTGCGTTTAAAATGCGCAATATTTGGCTCTTTTTAACCGACTTCAAAAAAGGAGAGGAGGTTATCAATTCGTCGCGATATATTTTTTTTATGTATGTTCAGCGATTATTCTTTAACACGGTGTCCGATTTCAATGATTCTTTTTTTGTTAGAAAGGGGATACTTCAGGGGTGGTCCCATATAAATTTAGTCAAAATCTAATAATTGGGTCCATGAGAAAATCCTCAAACTCTTAATTTTTTATGTATGTTTAGCGATAATGCTTTATTACCACCTTGTCCGATTTATATGATTCTTTTTTTGTTAGTAAGGAGGTACTTCAGGGGTGGTCCCACATAAATTTGGTTAAGATGTGGTGATGGCATCTGCATGTTTTTGAAGTCGGTATTTTTAAATTTTTAATTTCTAATTTCTAATTCAGACGATGAGTTTTTTTGAACGAGTCATTAGCGTTTAATATAGGACGGACCGTTTCGTTTTCTTTTTCTAAAATAGTAACGTTTCGTTTCTTAAACGGTAACACTCTTTTCTTTCATATTCTGGTATAGTCAGTGGCGTAGCAACGGAGGGGGTCAGAGTTCCCCCCCCCCCCACATGGAGGGCCTCGCGTCACCGATTCCTCGTATCGTCGCTGCTCGCTATTAACTATTTGTTTTTAGTTTTTGGTCACTTTTTTATAGTCTTGTAAAAAATTATTTATTTTTATTTACTTTTTTTAATGAAAACAATATTTACTAAAATATTTCACTTTGTTGATAGAAACCCCCGCCGTAGATCTCATACCCCTCCCATAAAAAATGTTTGGCTAAGCCTTTTGGTATAGTAATAAAATGCTTTTCTTATTGTATACAAATAATACATTTTTATCGTCGTTCTTAATCTCTTAAAATTCGATAAACACATCTCCCATATAAATGCGCCCAGTAATATTTTCAATACTAAAATAAACTTCATTTAAATACTTCCTAACTTTTGTTTCAACCGGTCCTCCTTCGGATGTAAATAGTAGGTACCTAACAACAAACGGAGTAAATTGTCCATACTTAATTTTTTAGTTCTTTATTTAATTTTAAAACTTCGCTTTTTTAAGATGGTAACAATATATAGGCTAAAAACATGTTTGTTTTTTAAATCTATATTATTCTCAAATAACGATAAATATAAAATGAGCTTATTAAATGCAAAAACAAATATAAAAATGGTTTTTTTATTTACCTAATCACTATCTGAATGGCAGTGATAACAAATCTAAGATTAAACGACTTACCTGTAAAGAAGTTCAATCGGGATTATATGAAGAACCACTTCCGCATAGACCACCATATGGTTACGCTTCTGGCGGAACCGACCACTACATAAAAACTAATACAATACAATACAAAAAAAAAACATCTCTTATCGCTAAATTATTATTATTATAGTTTTTAGGGCTCCCAGATTTTAGATCATACTTACCTGAACACAGTTTACTATTGGAAAGAGTAGTTTTGATCCACCTAGAGATACTAGTGTCGAGGCAGCTCGATATGGTCTTTTATGTATGAGAATTAGGCTTGATATAATGCCTCGAATTGGCTTAGTTCTATTTAAATATTCGTCCAAACATTTTACTACATATAATTCCGGTTTTTCCCGAAAATATGGTACGATTATTAATGGTTGAGATCTACCAGGACCCGAAGACTTGATTAAATCTGTTATTTTAATCTCTAACTTATTTTCATACTTTTTTATACCAGGAACTTTAATCTTTGAATCTTTGTACACGCTGTACAGAAATTAATGCTAAAAGCGTGACTAACTTATAAGTCAATTCTTCTAGGGATAATTTATTCAAGGGATATAAACTGGCTAGAAATTTTAGAACTTGTGTGGGATCCTATGTGACAGAATATTTAAAAAAACAGTTTTTTTATGTAAACCCCTTTCAAAAAACGGTTAATTATTTGTTCGTCGTCTATATGTAAAATTAACTTGAAAGCAGAGCGATGGGTATTCAAAGTATTATAGCTAGAACCGTTCTCAAACTGAGCCTGTAGAAATTTTAGTACCTCCCAGGATGAATTATTATGAGAATTAAAATCATTTTATTTACAGAATTCCCACTATTTTTTAAATGAACTATTGTACTGTTTGATGGAACTAGAACTTAAAGAACTAATTAAAGTAGGTGTAATAGATTGTGGAACTCGTTTTCTTACATACGACTCCCTGATAAGCGAGCAGCAACCAGGGTAATCTTGTGCCATATTGGATGAGTTTCCCTATAAAAGGACCTAATACTAAATCATGTTTGGCATAAAAATAAAAGGGTTGGGTACGCCAATCAGGTACAGCCAGTATACCTTCCGCCTTATCGGTTATAATTTTATGCAGTATCCTTAACATTATTGAAAAGGGAGGAAATGCATAAAAGGACAATCCTGACCAAGGAATCAAGGCATCAGGGTCTTTTTTCCAGGATACATAATTTTTACACTTAGCATTAAATTGAGAAGCAAATAAATCGATGAAAGGTTGTCCGAGAATTTTTATTATTGTGCTAAACACACTATTATTTAAGGACTATTCAGTTTCTATATCAAGACAACGTGATTCTGCATCAGCCTGAAAATTATTTTGTGAACTAATATAAGATGCATATAAATCCAAATGTTTGTGAATTCACACCACTGCTAGATATTTTTAATGATCTTATGGAGCTGAGGGTATTTAACACCCCCCCCCCATTCTATTTATATAACTAATAGCAGTAGTATTATCTATTCGCAATAAAATATTACAAAAGGATTCATATTTTGCAAAACATTTTAAAGCATTAAAACTTGCCAATCACTCTAAATAATTTATATGTAGTAATTTTTGTTCGTCTGTCCAGAACCTATGAGTTTTTCCCCGTTACATATAGCTAGGGTTGCCAACCGTCCTGCATTTCGGTGGA